AACAGGATGTATGTGTGATAACAACAACAACAACAACAACAACAACAACAACAATACTTGAGGTGATCACTTGGAAGAGATTCACTTTGCTCACAGTTTCTGAATATACAGGTTGTCATGGTTGGTCTTGTGCTATTAGATCTGTGGTAAAGCAGGAAAAATGACACAGAAGTGCACAGCACAGCAAAACCATTCACATCAGAGCAGGAAGGAAAAGGGAGGAAAAGAGATGGGTAGGTCTTGCAGGTCCCTCTGTGCCACACGCTGATGATTTAGAGACGCCCCACTAGGTGTTACCTCTTCCAGTTTCCACTATCTCACAACCAATAACAGTGCTTTGGGAACCAAGCCTTAAATGAATGGGTCTTTGGGAGACATTTAAGATCCAAGTATTAGTATGGTGTGAAGCTGAACTGTGTGTGAAGGTGTTTTAATCATTTGTAGAAAGTTTTTTTTTTGTTGTTGTTGTTGTTTTTTTTTTTTTTTTTTGGCATAACAAGTGAATCATGATAGGAAGATTTCTGTATGTTTTGTCAAATTCAATCTTTGTTCTTACCCTAGTAAAGGCTGAATAAAAGTTGTAGATAATCCTTGGGTTTTAAAGACAATATGGTCACCCACACTGACCACAGCTGACTGGCTTAAATGAGCTTTTAACATGAGCCAATTCTGCAAATACTCTTCTCCTGAACAGAGCCACAAACTAGATCTGGGATTCCTGGAGGCAATAAATAATATTGTTCAGGGTTGTTCAGAAATCTTCCTATCGTGATTCACTTGTTATGCCAAAAAAAAAAAAAAAAAACAAAAAAAAACTTTCTACAAATGATTAAAACGCCTTCACACACAGTTCAGCTTCACACCATACTAATACTTGGATCTTAAATGTCTCCCAATGCCTGCCATACAGTAGATGGTCAATAAAATTATTGAAAGTCTAGGCAGTGAAATTATTGTCTATTTATTTCTAAGAAGTGTTATGAGCTTAGGAGGCAGAACTGTGCATGTCAGAATTTGTGTCCATGAACTGAACCCTGGGGCTTTGTGCTTTGGTGTCCTTAGTGATTTTTAAATCTGTACTACTGAAGTATTCTATTAATTGTATTAGCTGTTGTGGGAATTACTTTTGGTGTTCACAATAAATTTTAATTGTCTTCTCATTAATATTGCTATTTTTGTTAAGAGAAGAGATAAGAAATACTTAAGTATTTTAAAATTCAGTAATATCTGTCTTTTGATAGTGATATTTTCTGTTAAAATTTAGTCAGAAATAGAATAAGCTCTGACTAGGGACAGAAAAATTGGAGTGAACTTAGGAAAACTCTCAAATAAATGTTAGTTCTTAAAATAACTACTGAAACTGCCTAAATTAATAATAAGATTTAACTATAAAACAATCAAAGGTTGTTTTTAATTATATAGAAAAATGATAAAAATAACTGAACAAGTAGGATATTTTGGGGTAATTACACTTAAAGTACAAAATAAAATATATCTCTGAAACATCCGTGTCAATCACATACAAGGAAGTTTAAAGAATTTATGGGGCCTGATAGCTCAGAAAAGCTACCTCTACCCATATTCTAAAAATATCAAAGCAGTAATGTCTCCATTTGAACGCTGAACTCCAATGTTATAGAATATAATCACTTAATACAACTTCAAATGGTTATACCTTAGAGAAAACTAAAAAGAGAAAGCAAATAAAATAACACTATGATCCCTGAATAACCCATAAGTAGCTGGATTAGTACATGATTTTTACTTATCCTACAATAGACATCATATCAGTTCCAGCCCCTGCCAAAAATCAATCAGATCTATTTTTTTGTTTCATTAGTAAATTCATAATTCCAAAGATGGAGTTCACCAAAGGTACTATATCATTTAAAAATAAATAAACAATAATAGCACAGTGATTATAATAAAGATGAAGGGCCGGCCAAATAGCTCAGCAGATTAAAGTAGCTGCAAGCAGGCACAGGGGCCAGGGATTCGATCCCTATGCCTGCCATCCATGCCAGCACTGTCCCCAGGGCGTGCTGAGCCACAACTGAGAATAGATGTGGTGGCGTGCACCTGTAATCCCAGCTCTTGGGAGGCTGTAAACAGGTGGATCACTACGAGTCTGATATAGTAGAGAGACCCTGAACACCCTGTAGACACTTCCCTAAAATACAAAAAAATTAAAAAGTAAAAAATAAATAAACATGAAGAAACTGAAGTAGAATAAATTAAATTCTTTAACCAGGGTTTCAATGTTTAAAGCAGTGAAGTAGTTTGAACCATGAAGTCACAGCTCTTGTCTGGGTTTTCCTGCTGCCCATGTTGGTAGCTGGCTAATGGATGCAGCCCATGTTGGCTGCCTACCTTTCCCTCATTTTTCCCCATCTCCTAACCTGTGTCCTTCACATAGCTAAGAAATTCTTTGTATTTAAATGCTTATTTCAGAATTTGCCTGTATAGGAATCCAAACTGAAATGTATCACAATAATCCTATGCTGAATCCTATACTGCTGCGCCTACTCCTGGACAAGGAGGGGTACCAGGAGAATCCCAATTCTTTCCACTCTGCCCATGGAGGAATGTGTGGGAGAGGAAGGAACCTGCAGCCATCCGGCAATATGAGGACTGCATTCATGCACATCTCTATCTGGAGAAAGTCCCGAACAAGTGCGCCTCTGAATACTGCTGCAATTACAAAACCCGAACTGGGTCTGGATATCAAATATGGTGGCTGAAGGGGGCTCAAAAATGACCAACCTATGTATCTGCTCTTCCTCTGTCACCTCTAGGCCTGACACAGCTTACTAGTTCAAGTCTAGGGCAAGATCTAAAATGAGCATTAAGTTAGGGTGAGTGATTCTGAAACACAAATAGCCTTCTAGTTCAAGAAAGGAAATACAAGGATAAGAAAACCCAAGAAGCTTCCTGGAAAGCAGGGAAGAGGCTGTTTTCTTTAGGGGGAAGGTGCACAGGAAATATTCCTATAGAGGGATTCCAGGAAGGGCTTCTACTCTGTTTACCTCCTTACTGTCAAATGAGTTTGCTATAGTCATTCATGGTTCTGTGTGTGAAACGCTACTGAGAGTACTTATCGCTTCTTTTCCCCAAAACTATAGCTGTTCAGGTCCTGGATATAGGATGACAGAATTCCTAGGCATAGGAAAAAAATCTATGGGTAAATATACTATAAAGCTCCATATGTATTTTTTATAAAAAAGTGATAAGGACCATAGTATTGGCTTATGAAATACGTTGGCCTGATACGATATAACCAAGTTAACTCTTTAATTGCTTCTTTTAAAAGTTTTTTTTAAAAAAAACAATTATTTATTTATTTGGTACATTATAGTCTATAGTCTGTAGTTCTGTTATAGTCTCTCTACGCAGCTTGGATACCTAGTGATACTCCAGTCTCAGTGTTAGGATTACAAGTGTGCGTCACCAGCTAGGTCTTGGTGGCCAGCTGGCGCATCCGAGGTAGGGCCAGCACGATATGTGGTGCTGGGTATTGAACCAGGTTCTTATGCTTGCCAGGCAGGTGCTTAGACCATTGAGCTCTCTCCCCTGCCCTATAATTGGTTCTTAATCTACTATCAAGTTGCATTGTAATCTGTGAATAGCAATATCCTCTCCCACATTCATGTGTTCTCTGTCACTATGTGGTGTGATCAAGAACTCTTGAAAATCAATTTTATTTCCAATGACATTTACACTGTAGTAAGTACAGCATCTAGGAAAAACAGGCTTTGCATGAGGAAACCCATGGCACATCTACATGGTGTGGATTCAGCCTCAGGGCCAGTTGTTTTTCTGTGTTACTCAACTCTTGAACTTATGAACCTTCTCTGACTGCAGCTAATTATACAAGACGATAAGCATTATTAGCAATTCTGCCTCAGCATCCCTTAGTGCTTATCTGTCACCAGTGCAGCACAATGACTGTCAGTGACTCAACATACAGCTGCAATGTTAACTTAGGGTATGATTCATAAATGGGTCTTCTCTTATAGCTGATGATAGAATCCTGGCAATGGACCCAGGGTTCTAGAGAGAAGCGCACCTTGTCAATCAATCCCTGTTTTAAGGAAAGCTGGTAATTCTGTTTGCTCACCCCTCTACCACGACCTCCACCAGCTGGATAGAACCATAATCCTATACACTGAGACAGCATCCTGTTGTCTTGTGAGTACTTCAGTATTTTCCTTTCTGCTGTAAAGGATAGTGTTTAAGTAAAAGGGAAATGTGCTTGAAACATGGTTCTGCCTGGTCAGATTCTCTTCCTTTTCTGAGCTTCAGTCAAATGAAAAGAAGAATATATTTCAGTTATAAGAAAAGTAAATAAAGTATTGCATGTAGGGATTGTATCTTGATGACTAAACAAAATAAGTCTTTTTTTTTTTTTACCTTTTCAAACAGTTTTTAGTAGTGCTGGGGACCAAGCCCAGGGTTTCATGTATCCAAGGCAAACACTACCAGTGAGCTGCATCTCATCTCAACTACTTTCTTACATTCAACTGCTCAGATCACACAGATAAACCAAAGCAAGAGTATTTGCTATAAAAATCATAATAAGGGGGTTTTAATCAAGCTTAGGTGCAATATGCAAGCACATTTTGCCATCTATCATATGTACAATTTTAGAAAACTCCATTTACAGGGAAAGAAATGCATGGAATAGTTTAAGTAATCTAGAAACCATATAAAGGCAAACACATTTTAAAATTATATTTTGTCTCTTAACAATTACTACCCTACACTACACACACACACACACACACACACACACACACACACACCATGGCCTAAAGGCCATTTCCTTTCCCTTATATAAGTGACATTTTGCTTGTCATTTTTATTTTTAATGGTTATTGAATTTCATGTAATATTTGCCAGTTTTCTTCTATCCCTTTGTCCCCTGCTGCAAAAGATCTAATCTATTCAGGGGGAGATAATTGCTGAGTTGTTGAGACAGAAAAGAAATCGCTGCATCTTACCACTGTTGTGCGCCTCCAGCTGTGAGGCAGAGTTGACGGCAACCTTGCATAGAGAACAGTAAAGAAGCCGCTTTGCCTTTTCTTCTTCTGTCTCTGTGGAGGAACACGAGCTATTGCCAGTGGCTGTCGTGGGGCTTTTTTCCACTTTAGAGGTGATCTCAGTTGTCATAACACTGCTTTTGTGGATTTCCACACTTGTCGTCGTTGATATTGCTGGTGTCCCCGTGGTACTGTCTGTATTCAAAATAACATAGGAAGAAGGGCAGGGACATTACTTTTCTCTGTTTGTATACATAGCACTAATATCACATCCCACCGATAACAATAAGAGAAATTAGCAATCACTTTGTATCAACTATATATCAATCATCTCATGAGGATATTTACATAGATGATTTCATCCAATTTTATGTTGTGAAATGAAACATTTAGATCATTCTTCAAACTACATGCAAGTACAATTTGTAAGTATTTTATGCAATAATTAAGCACATCACAAATTGCTCTTAATATCTTTCCTTGGAAAAGGAATATTTACAGTATTTTACACTATAGAATCCTACATATATGCTTGTTAAAAATTAAGGTACAAGATAAACACATTTAAATATCTTTCTTTTTTCTTACCACTATTCTTTCTATTTTCTTTTCATGTTTTCTTTGGCTAAAAAGTGCAGAGTCTTTGATATATGCTTAGGAATAAAAGTGTAAAATCCCAATGCTGTAATTGCTTTATCCAGATCAGTAGCTCAGAAAGCCGTTGCTCTATTAACAAAGAGTTATATTAAATGCCTAGTGCCCAAACTGCCAATATAAAAAAGAGAGGAAATATAGTCTTCATATTTATTATATGCACACTCTGTATCAAACTGTGCGCCAGAAGTAGGTGGCAGAAGCACTGAAACATCAAGAGCCACTATTCACAAGTAATTCACAGGCTGGTCACACCACGTTAATGTCACCAAGAGTTTGATGACCATGAAAGTGTTGATACTCTGTAACTTAACAACCCTTTTGGCTCTCAATTCTGACACCAAATCTGGAGAGATCAACTTTCAAAGCAAAAACTACCTTGTCCTGAGTTCACTTGGGTATCCTAAGCTCTCCTCCCATGTATGCCAAAGCACCAGGATTTTAGCCGTGTTTGTCATGTCCAATGAAAAGTTGCCATTTACCTCTAAATTAATACCCTATTTACTCTTATTTTTATCCTTCTGGCTGTCAGCTGGTTCTGAACTTCTTTCTCCAAATCACTGCCTTTCCAAAGGTTGCTGTTGGAACTGCTATTCTACATCATTCAAATGATGTCATGGTCCATTTTTATGTCACAGTGTGTTCAAGACAAGTAGATTTGGCTCTGCATACAAGGGGCAGTGATTTGGTTTGTCTGCAATGATGGCTTTTCTGCATGAATAGTTACTACTTATTAGCTCACATCAAAAGGAGTAAGCTGCAGTGCAGGGTGTTGCCTCTGCTCCAGGTGTATGAGTGAGAATGTGGGATGCCGCCACTGCTTCTCTGAGTGTATCAGAAACACTAATATATGGAAAAAAAATAGTCTCTTATTAAGAACCATTTGATAAAAGGATTCATTTGGGCCTTGTTTCCTTTTCATACACTTTCAAACACTTATCTAGCTTTAGGTTCAAATCAATAAATAGGTCTCTTTCTATGGAATGGAAAATGCTTGCTAACCATATTTTTAAAATATCATATCCAAACTAAGGTCTCATACAAAAAGAAAAAAACAAAATTGATGTATTTTGTCATCAGAATGTAAGCTATGACAGAAAAATGATGTGAATGCTTAAATCTTTAAAAATCTATTACAGTAAAAGACACACTGCCATTAATCCCTCTCAAAGTACTTTTCCACAATCCATCACACTTACTCCATCAATCTCGTTACTTTCTCAAACAGTTCTGGAAGTTTTCTTTCATGAGTGTCTTTATTTCCATGGTGGAGGCTAACTCAGTCTCCTCAACTGATTCAAAACATTCACCTTTTACAGTCATTTAACTTTAGGGAAGAGTTCTAAGTTTCACAGTGTCAGATGCAATGAATAACATGGGTAAGGACACACTGTAATGTTTCATGAGGCTGATTTTGCACTGGAAGTCAGTCCACAGCACCATTCATTACATTTTGATCATACTGGGTGCAGACCCTGAGGAAAGACAACTTTCAGAACTCCTTCACTGTAGCAAAAACAATGGGGTAAGTGTGAAGTGAGCGAGAGTGGTTTAAGAAGAACCAATAGCAATGGGTCTTTTATTGTAATATGTTTTAAAAAATTTAAGCAGCTACCATATTTGATCAACTTTGTACATTTTAACAGGTCTAGTTCTTGATAAATATTCACTTTTCTGCTGAGATTTCATTAAAGTACTAGGTCACAGAGTGAAATTATATCTGAGGATCTCAAGATGGTGTAAAATATGACAATTTCAGATGGTCATAAGATTGTTGCTTGCCCCTAATAAATCAGAAAAGTCTGTTTGAAACCCTGTTTGTATGTGCTTGTGAATAAAGAAAGAGTTGCCAATTTGCTGAGTGGCTTATACATTTCAAATAATTTCTATACATTTAAATTTCATTTAAACTTTTATACAAAGTGATAAAAACCAGTGAATTTCCATAGTGAAGGAAATTTCCCAAGATTACACAGGTGGAATATAATTAGCCAGGGCAAAATATTTCATGGAATGAGCAAATCAGGGATTTCATCTCTTCCTCCTCTGCCTCCTCCTCTTCCTCCTTATACTTCTCCTCCTCCTCCTCAATTCTTTCATTTTCCCTTTCCCTTTCCTTTCTTCACCTTCTCCTTCTGCTCCTCCTTCTCCTCTTCCACTTCCTCCTCCTCTTCCTCCTCTTTAGTTGGTACTAACATTTGAACACAGTATCTTCCTATGTCCTGACTTTTGTTATATTTTTTATCATGAGGTAGCGCCTTCCTAAGTCATTAAATTCTTCAGGGCTTGAATTTATGACTCTCTTACCTCAGCCTCCCAGAGTGCTGGGATTATAGATGTGTGCTAACATGTCCAATTTGAAGTCTGGTACAAAAAAAAAAACAAACAAACAAACAAAAAAAAAAAAACAAAAAAAACACTTCTGGGAATGATAATCTTGGCCGTGGCTATCACTGTCTAGAAAAAGATCACAAGCAGCAGTGCACTGACACCATTGCATTGTTCTTATTATCACTTCATTTACGCAGAGAGACAGACACAAAAAAGAAACCTTGAAACTCACTGTGGTCACACAACGAAGGCAGAGTGTGATGCTATGGGTATTTATTTCATTGAAATCTGCCATGGCACATATTTACCCAGTAATAAGCTACTGCTAATAACTTAGTTTTGCATTGACATGTCTTGATCTAGAAATGATACACAGAATAGGCATTATTAATCCTAAAATAACTTTCTTACCACAGTGAAATTTGTTAATCAAAACATAGAATGAATAAAATTGTAGACTTCCAATCTTCGTGATAGCTACTTTTGTGTTGTTCCTGACACCAAGAGGATAACATACATTTGTACCAAAGACACCACAAGATTAGACTCTGGATTTCCTATGCCTGGGGTTTAATGAAGTATTGATATCTTTTTGACAAGTTCCTTCCTTACATCAGGCTTAGAGGAATTAATATAAAACACTTACCTTGCCACACTTACATTTTGTGGTACATTTTTAATCACAAAGATGAGCATAGATATATTATATTCTGAGTATGCAGGTATTTTAAAGAAATGCAAAGGCAGAGTTTTCATTTTAAATTTCATGTATACATCTTGCCTCCATAAAGATAGTATTACTATAACAAGACATGATTTTTTTCTTATTCAAAGATCAACTATTCTATATATACAGTTAAGAAACACTTTTTCAATAGCATTTTAAATTAAAGTTATATATAATTCTTATCCACTCATTGAAATAGAATTTTGAAGTGAGATAACCAAGGGCTGGCGGGATCCTGAATAGACCAGGAGTGCAGGCCCGGCGAGAGAGTGAGGTGACTCAGGGCCCATGAGATCCTGAATAGACCCAGAGCGCAGGCCCAGTGAGTGAGTGAGATGACTGAGGGCCTGCGGGATCCTGAATAGACCCACAGCCCAGGCCCAGCCTGTGAGTGAGACCACCTGGGGCTCAGGGCTTGCAGATCCTCATTCGATCCAGAGTGCAGGCCCAGAGCGGAACCCTTCAGCAGAACTCCCTGAAAAGAGGCTAGAGGCAAGACCCACCCAGCTGATTCAGGAGCAGAACATCTTGCTAGCGAGACACAAAGGGTTCAACTCTAATGGTTGCAGCAGAAAGAAGTGGATCACAGCAGCCAGATCCAAACAACACCCACCTGGAGGAATCCGATCTTTGTAGATCCAGACCTGGTGCTAAGGTAATAACTCTATCTAAGCTCTACACCAAAGGTCAGAAGACAGTGGTATACAAAATGACAAAGAGAAGGAACAAAATG